GGATTTGTAATGACCAACCAGTTAGACATGAAGGTGGTCACAAAATATTTGTAATGACCAACCAGTTAGGCATGTGAATGGTTACATAAAAGACTGTTAATAACCAATCAGTTAAACATGGAGGTTACCACAAAGGGTTTATAATGATCAACCAGTTAGACAATGGAGGTGACCACAAAGGATTTGTAATGACCAACCAGTTAGACATGAAGGTGGTCACAAAATATTTGTAATGACCAACCAGTTAAGCATGTGGATGGTTACATAAAAGACTGGATTAATGATCAACCAGTTAAACATGGAGGTGCCCACAAAGGGTTTATAATGACCAACCAGTTAGACATGAAGGTGATCACAAAGGATTTGTAATGACCAACCAGTTAAGCATGTGGATGGTTACATAAAAGACTATTAATGATCAACCAGTTAAACATGGAAGTGACCACAAAGGGTTTATAATGACCAACCAGTTAGACATGGAGGTGATCACAAATGATTTGTAATGATTGGCCAGTTAGACATGCAGGTGGTCACAAAATATTTGTAATGACCAACCAGTTAGACATGCAGGTGGTCACAACTGACTTAACATGTTAATAGCTTGATATGCGAACCTACTAGATCTTGGCATAGTCGTCTACTTACGAACTTCATTATGAAATACGTTATATTTCTTCACTTCCTGAAGTGAATAATGTACTTTTTTTTCTGACCAGTTTAAATCTACATACGCATTGTGTTCCATTATGATTAACCTTACTAAACACAATAACCTTTAAACCTTTCTACTTAAATTTGTTGTTTCGTATTTACTGATTTCTATATATATGTTGTATTTGACTTGGAGGGAATGATAACACACTCTCCTACGACATTCCCTTGTCCTTATATGAATACCTACCACTAAAGATGCAAACAAAAAGGCAGTATTCGTGTAGGATGTTTCTTTTCATTAGGCCAGGAACAACAAGTTGTCGGTACACGTGCCATATCATATATTCTCATGGTTAGTGTTTGCAAGTGTAAATTCTGTTGAGTGGCACATCTTGTACCAGTAATACAGTCATTAGTGGACAAACTATTAACACTACGTACATACTCAAATGCAATGGTTTATTTTCGAATTTATGTTAAGCTGATTTTATGATTAAATTCGTGTTTGTTGAAAGTTTAAAAACTTTACTTCCAGCCACAACCATCAGAATGGCTATATTAAAAACAAAACAAATTGCCAACCACCATGATTTTACTGGCCAAATTTAGATGGATTGAAAAATCGCTTTCATTATTTAAAAATAAAATGAAATAACTTACAGTCGTTATATTATAAGCCCGCAAGTTGACATTACGGATGTAGTAACTTACATATCATGTTTCGTGGGTGGAAATAGAGCTTAAACGTACAGTGAAAAAAACTGACTTTAGTTAGAAATAAAAAAACTCTAAGTTTTCTCATGATTTTCCAACAAAAACGACATTGTACCTTAGCTAAATACAAGAAGTGATAAGAACGTTTCTTTCGTGTATCTCTATCTTCGGTCACGCTAGTTGAATTAGCTTTACCTAAGATTGGGAAATTATGATATATTTGATGTAACAGACAGCTATTTAATTTTTGCTCCCTGGAGGGTCAGTGGCGAGTTTACGGTCTTACAACGCTACAACCGAGATTCGATTTCCTGCGGTGGGCAAGGCTCTGATAGCCCATTGTGTAGCTTTGCGCTGAAACAACAACATTTAAGTTATTATATCTTTCGAAATCCAATTTTCATCAAATATATGTTTAGCTTCCTTCACACTGGAAATAGATTGGCTTGATGTTTCTTTATTTATTGTACTATAACTTCGCCAGGTGGTTAGGGCGCTCGACTCGCAATCTTAGGGTCGCGGGTTCGAA